GCCGCGCAGCCCCGGCCGCCAGGCCCTAGCCGCCGGCGCCGTGACCCACGGACCTCGGAGACATGGAGTGAGTGGCGCGCATGGACCGCGCCCCGGGGGCCCCACGCCCGCGGGGCGTCGCGATCGCGCAGGCGGCGGGAGCGTCTGCGGCCGGCTGGGGAGGTGGGGGGACCCGCCCCGAGGCCTCGCTCACACACCCCGGCTGGGAGGGGACTTAAGGGTGGGTGCTCCCTCTGCTACCTAGGGGTGCCGGCCCTGGGACCTTGGAGACCCTTCCCCAGGTGGCCTCGCCGTGGCCCCGGCCCAGCTCTGGCGCGCGGCGCCCTGCGCCCTGGACACGCGCTCCGCCCGGCGTCCTGCCCTGCCTCTCCAGGGTACCCGACGACCGGAGCCCCCTGCCCGAGCCCAGATCTAGCAGCCAGGTTCTGCTCCGCATTGCCGCTGGGAAGAGGGGCTTCCTGAGTGTCTGGTGGGTGCTTGGGGACGGCATAGGCGGTGCCCGGCCACGATTTCGGGACCGAGTCCCTCCCCAGAGGGTCCCCAAGATGAGGACCGAATGGGGTGACAAATAGAATGGGCTGGGGTCAAAACCATGCTCCTTGTCCTGTTCGGGCAGCCTGGGGTCTGACTAAGCCGGTAAGGGGCTCCTGCTGCAAAGGACTTTGGTATACAGCAGGTGCTCAGTGGGTCTGCGTGGTCATTCAGGGCCGGCTCGGGTCACCTGCTGTCAGTGTGAGAGTGTCCCCCATCCCACACCTCCTGCTCCTCACTCCCACAGGTGGGTCCTAGAGGTCATGGGATATGTGAGGACCCCCACACGTGGTGGGACTGACTATGGCCCCCTCTGGGCCGTGTCCCCACCCAAGCCGGGCAGGACACAGGTCCTCAAGCCAGCTTAGCCTGAGCCGGCCGCTCCCCTACCCTCCCCACTTGGCATTGTTTTGCAAGCAACAACTTTCCCCGGGGATTCATTCGCAGTGACCCACCACGCCCTGGGTTGGGTGGGAACTGTCACCCCTCCCACTAGGGAAGGCAAAACGCCTGGTGTCCTCTGCTTTTGAAAACCCAGACAAAGGCCCAGCCGCTCCCCCACCCCACCCGCCGGGAGCCCAGCCAGGGGCTCAAGGGAGCCGCCCGGACGCGCAGGCTAGGTCCCTGTCTTGTTTATCTGCTCTGTGGTCTCCCGCCTGGGAATCTCTGGGCCTCCAGACAGCAGGGCCAAGGTAGGGGGGGTCGGCCAGCAGAAGGAGGCAAGAACACTCCCATCCTAAGTGGTGGCAGAAGGGGACTTGCTGGTTGGGCTCCTTTGTTCCTACTCTGCCATCCCTTTTCCCCTCTGGGGATCCTAAGGTCCAGAGAGGGACAGCAACTGCCCAGAATCACACAGCACTCTGAGAGTGTCCAGGCTACTTGGTCATGGGTCTGCCATGGTCTCCTGGGTCCCTCACTGTGAGTCACTGTTTTCTGGGTGCAGCCAGGGAGGCTGGCATTGTGTTCCCAGGGATGGTGGCAGGGCACCCTGTATGGCGCTGCTCCGGTTTGGACGCCTGCCCTTTGCTCCCAGGGCTGGATGGAATCCGTTTAGGGCACAGAGCAAGGCAGGGGCGGCAGCAACGTGATCGGATCTCCGCTTACCTCAGCAGGTTTCCATGGTGCAGGAGATGGCTGGGAAGTTTTAGGAACGCATTTGAGAATTTAAGGAAATTCAAATTTTGTTGAAGAGTTGAATTTAATGAAAATTAGTGGGTAATGAAGTGGCCAGACAAATGTTCCAAAAGGTGGGGCACCGAAGCTGGGGTTCTCTGCTCTGGGGTACCTTGTGACCCTGGATGTGCCAGCCCTACAGAGTGAAAGAATAGCTGGTCAGGAGGCTGACCAGAAGGCTGCGTTAGGCTTAGTCTGGTTTGGCTTTTGTTTTGTTCTGGGCTGCTCCTACTCTTGGAGATCCTCTTGCCTCAGCCCCCTGGATGTTAAGATGACAGGCGTGGACCACCCCGCCCAGCCAGCTCAGGGCTGGAAATTTTCAAAAGGCAAAGTCCCAACTGGGTGCTGAGTCCTTAACACCCTTTCACACTTGCTAATCTCTCTTTTTAATAAGAGGTTGAGCGGGTTAAAAGGCAACATTATCTAGTGATCATTGCAACTGATAGTGAGAGTCTGTGTTCAGTGTCACTGTTCTGCTCATGTTTTCTGCTCTGTTTGCAGCGACAGCTTGTGGTTTTCTCACTGTGGGTAGTAACGTACTGGTTTCTGGAGGAAAAAAAAAAAAAAAAAAAAAAAGAGTTGGTGTTTTTGGTTTTTGTCTTTGAGACGGTTCAGGCCAGCCTTGAGCTCCCTTTGTAGCCGTGCCTCAGCCTTCTGAGTGCTGGGATGACAAGTGTGCACCGCCACGCCCAGCTGAGATTTGGTTTTGAAAGATTGTGAGTTTTTAAGGGAGGAATATGAGGTAAGGAAATGCCAGGTGACACGGGAAGCCAGCCTGAGGAGGACAGGCGCATTTGTGGGCTGTGGGGGCCTCTGGGGGCATCATGTGTGGACTAGACGGATCCTTCAGAGAGGCTGAGACTTGCTCAGGCATGAGTGGGGGGTCAGGAAGGTCGGGGTACCTTCCTGTGTCACAGCACCTGTGGGCTGAGGGACCCCGGGGGAACTAGACATCCTGAGCACAGCTTTCCAGCCCAGTTATTATTATTATTTTTTTTTTGGGTTCTTTTCTTTTCAGTAATGGAAGTGGCAACCAGGGCCTTTTGCACTGTGCTCCATCCACAGCCCTTTTTGTTGTCAGGGTCTTGCTAAATCACTAAATTGCGTAGGGTACGAACTTGCTATCCTCCTGCCTCGGCCTCCCAGAGTGCTAGGATTACAAGCATGTGCCACCCTGCCTGGCTCTGGTTACTTTACTGAGCTATGTGGACAGTGGCTTCCATGTTCTGGGTCCCTGGAGGTTGGGGTCTCCCTCTCCTGGGGCCGTCCCTCTTTATCCCATCCTTTCTTCAGGTCACACTTCCATCACTTGTCAAAGGGCCAAGCACCCTCCACCCTCCTCAGTGGGGTTACAAGGCCTAGGGCTCGGCAGCACCAGGGTGTTGTGGCGCCCAGGAGGGCTGTTTCTGCCTCAGGTCATGATTAAGTCCATCCTCGAAGGTCTCAGATTTAAAAACTGAAAACCGAGGCTTACATGGTGGTGCACACCTGTCATCCCAGGACTCTGGGAAGCTGAGCAGGAAGATCACAAGTTTGTACCTAACCTGGGAAACCAAGTGATTTAGGAAGACCCTGTCTCAAAAATTAAAAAAGAGAAAGGGGTTAGGGATGTAGCCCAGTGTGAATGTACTGGGTTTAATCCCTAGTGCCACCAGAAAAGAAAAAAAAAAATAATTAAAAACTAAACCTAAGGGGACTGGGGAGATGGCTCAGTAGACTAATCACTTCCCTGGCAAGTGCAAGGGCCTGAGTTCAATCCCCAGTTCCACCAAAAAAACAAAATGGAAAAAAAAACAAAAACCTGAAAAACTAAACTTATTAAATCCCTGGCCTGCCATGTTGGCCCCGGCCTCCCGGGTGCGCTGAGATTGAGACTAAGTGTGGTGGCACACACCTATAATCCCAGGGATTGGGAGGCTGAAAAACAGGAAGGATCACTACAAGTCCGATCTGCATAGTGAGACCCTGTAGACCCTGTACTAAATACATTCTATTTTGTGTGTGTGTGTGCGCGCGCGCGTGTGTGTGTGTGTGTGGCCAGCTCAGCCCACCAGGGGGCGGGGCTGGCTGGCATGTGGTGCTGGGGGATTGAACCGCAGTCCCTGTGGTTTGCTAAGCTTGTTCTAAGTAGGTGCTTTAGACCACTAAGCCATCTCACCAGCCCCTAAATACATTCTTTTTTTTATTTTTTATTTTATTTTATTTTTTTAATTTTTATTTATTTGTGTGTGTCTGTGTGTGGCCAGCTCAGCCCACTAGGGGGCGGGGCTGGCTGGCATGTGGTGCTGGGGATTGAACCAGGGTTCCTGTACTTTGCTAAGCTTGTTCTAAATAGGTGCTTTAGACCACGGAGCCATCTCACCAGCCCTCTTTTTTTTTAAAAAAAAAAAAAAAAAAAGAACTAAACCTGGAAAATGGGTTGATGCTCTGTATGCGCCTTCTCAATTCAGGAAGTCCATCAGCCTTCCCTGCTGCTCCATCCCAGCATCAGACAGGGTAAGAGAAAGCTTTCCTGGTTGCATCCCACTGTGGACCTTTTCAGCAAAGAGCAGGCAAGGGTTTATCTGGCAGGCAGAGGCTCCGCCATGTGCAAAGGCCTGGGGGCGCAGAAGCAATGAACAGGAAAGCATTCTCGGGTGTGTTCTCTGGGGGTCAGGTCGTGCCGGGCAGATGAGTTGTGGATGGGGCCTGAGCTGGCCAGGGCATGCTGGGCCTCAGGCTGGACAGGGGCTGCAAGGATCCAGGACCTTGTCGGGGTGGGAAGACACCCAGCATCAGAGCTCCAGGCCCAGAGCCGCCCACAGGGCTGAGCAACCTGCTCTGCTTGGGAAGTTGAAGACACCTGGATGCGTAGAATGAGCAAATGGTGCCTGGGAGGTGGCGCGGGGTCCCCGTCTTGGGAGGAGGCTGCAGGGAGGTCCAGCGATCCGAGGAGCAGATCTGAGGTCCAGCCTTGAGACTTCAGCTGAGGTTCAGGGACATCACAGGACAGAGTCTGAGCCAGGTCCTGCAATGAGTGAGGACCCAGGTAGGATGGGCTTTGTGGGCCCGACAGTCACAGTGGGATGGTGGCAGCAAGGGCAGTAATCCGCAGTCTTCAAGGTCTGTGAGGGGCAGAGGCCTGGGAGGCCCGGGAACACTTGTCACGATGCCAGGCAGTGGCACCCTTTGTTTTGTTCAAACTCCCTGGCCATGGAAGGCTTCAGAGAGGGTGGGTGTGGAGCGCCCATGGGGGTAGGGGGAGGCTTTGATGTTTATTTATTTAGAGTACTAGGGATTAAACACAGGTCTCTGCACTGGACCTGTTTGAAACATAATTCACACTGGGTGTGGTGGCACACATCTGTCATCCCAGCACTTGGG